TTGGAAAGATTGAAAATTACGTGTCTATTGAAATTTAACTTAAAAAAAGTATGTATGTAAAATTTCAAGGATTATTTTAGAATTTAGACTATTTTTTTCAAACAAGAGCAGCGAAAAGGTCACTTCTACAGCCTTTTTCAAAAGTGATAGAATTCGACGAAAATGTTGGAGAATCGAATGAAACACGCAACAAAGGTGTATCTTTCTTTAAATACCATTTATTGAAAATACAGATTTGACATACAATGATAAAAAGGGGGGCGCGGTATTGTGCTTGCTTTCGTGTTCAGCAACTCCTCCTTCAACGTCTCTGAAAGAAAAATATGCGGTGTCGTGAATTCTATCGGAAAGAGGGTATTCTGCTTTTCTGAAGCAACTACGGGCCAATCGTCACCGGCCCCGCAGCTTTTGGCGTAGTGGTTAAGCTCGAAGCAAAAAAAGCGGTTTTACATTAACAAAAAAGAAAAAAAAAACTAGCAGTGTAAACGGTCTCTAGTCGCAGTGTTAATTGCATTATTCGCTTGGCAAGTTATCTCTCGAAGCCCATTAACGAAACATTATTTCACGATACACTATTAACGAATTAAATCAGCGTAGCTTCGAAACACAGCCGACAGACGTCCATTGTTAAATGTAGCGAATAAGCGGAAGAAGCTCTGAATAGCGAAATAAAAAGAAACTCCGTCCGTTCGTTGCGGCTTTTAGTATCCTGTCATTTCCGCGAACGTGGCGTCCATGTCGTCGCAGACCGCCTTGTACTTTTCCTTTTCTTCTCTAAGTTCGTCTGAAACGTAACGATTATTGTGAAGAAAGCTTGTTCTCGAGAAAAGTACAGTTTTACTTTCACGTAATTCTCCTTACCTTCCTTCATATCGACTTCCTTCAACAACTTCTTCACTGTTCTCTCAGCGAGAATAGCACGCTTCTCTGCTTCCCTCAACTTTTTCTTCAGCTGTTTCAACTGTACTTTAAAGTCTTCTACTCGTTGATTAGCCTGGATGAACAAACTTCGAGTTTTAGTATCAATTACGAAGTGGTAGATTGAAATTTATTTATTTATTCCTAGCAGCTTTGCAAATTTTTTACGTTGTTTTTGTTTTTATAAAAGGGTAATCACCTTTTCTTCGGATACTTCCAAGGATTTCACGATATTCTGCACGATGAAAAGCTCGTCCTCTCGTTCTATAATTTTTCTGCAAATATATTTAAGCTCGTCAAGAAAGAGTCACGGGAATTATTAGAAAGACGAATGTAACATAATTATACAAACGCTTCGCTGGTTTTCACTCTCTCTTCAGCTCCTTCCAATTCCTCTTCAACGAACTGCAACTTCTTCGATATCTCTTCAGACTTCGCGTCCGCGTCCTCGGCGATTAGTCTCGCGTCTTTCAGCTCGTGCATCAATTTTTCCATGCGCTCCTCGTCCAACCGACTTCTGTCTTCTAACACTTTGCACATTCTATGGTTGAGAGAAGAAAAAAAGTATTTATCGTCGTAACTTTCTCTTAATTTACATTTTTCAATATAAAAGTTCAACAAATATATATCTCTAATTTATATATTAAAAATTTTAAATTTCACAGTGTTCTTAAGTGAAAT